GGTGGCTCCCCCAGGCAGGGACACAGCTCTGACAGCACCTTGCCGGGCTGGATGGAGATGTCTCCTGCCACCGGCAAGCGCTGCTGGCTGTTTGCACAGCCATGTGAAGTCCTCCTGGTAGGGTGCCTTGGCTGTCTTGCTCTCTGCTCAAAGGGGGCACTGACCTGCCTGCCTGGTCCTCCCCTACCTAATCTTCTCCCCTTCCTGGCCTGGTAGCTGCTGATGGCAGCAGAAGAATCCGGCTGGGCACGCGGGGACCCGATGGCCCCACTCCCACGGCAGCGCTGCAGGAGGGGACATGGGGGTCAGCTTCTCTCCTGCCAAGCGGACTGAAGGCCAAACCCACCAGAGAAGGGCCACCCTCGCTGCCTGTGCTAACGCCTGCTGACAGCAGCACCGGGCTGGGGCTCAGCACCCTTCCCCGGCTGCGTCCAAGAGGGGGTTAAAAAGGGACAAGCGTGGGAGACCAAAGTGAACACGGTGCCAACTCTGCCTAGCCCCTGCCCCCCGCCGCCCCTTGGCTCCTGCCTCCATCCGCAAGCAGCAAGTACAAGGTAGAGAGTGGGACCACCGAGAGGTCACGGCTGGGGACTGTCTGTAGGAGATCGGAAAGAACAGAACCAAAAAAATAAAAACTTGAAATAAAAAATAAAAAGGAAGGGGAAATTAAAAAAAGAGACAGGAAAAAATATACATGTTATGAAAGGCAAAAAATTACAAACTGGAGAGAGGCACAAAGGACTCCAACATCAATGCAACAGCAGAGGCCAGCAGAGAGGAGCACAGCCAGGCACAAACCACCGATGCGTGTTACAACAGCCTCTGCAGAGGGAAAGGGAGTTAACCTGCCGCGGCACCTGCGCAGCGGGGCCGGGGAGCAGCAACATGCACTGCGGGATGCACGACAAAGCAGCAAAGTCCTCCAGAGCGGGAAGCCAAGCCCTCTGCTTCCCCTCCCACCGGGACACAGCACCCAGGGCAAGCACGGGCGGCCGAGACAGGCGCACACACACGTGGGAAGGGAGCGAGCGTACCCCAGGAAGGGGGAGAGCTTGCACCGGAGACCAGTCTGTAGAGGCAGCGAGTGCTGCCCAACCCTGGGCTCAGGGTCTCTGTCCCACTGCCCCCCACACAGCTCCAGCGATCCCCAGGGGTTTTTTGGGTGCCCACAAACCCAGGGCGCAGCGGTGTGGAGAGGAGCACAGAGCCCCGCACCGGGCAGGCAGGGAGGGTGGGGCATTGCTCGCTGCTGCAGCAGCCGCGGGCAGAGCGGGGGTC